AAAAAAAAAAAAAAACTAGGGGAAATTAAAAACTTTGACAAACCCAATCAATAAATTTAGGAATGGCGACGGAAGTAGGTAGGGTTTGAGGAAAAAAGATTCATAACCCGACCCTCAGCGGGTGTATTCAATTAGATTTGACCCACCCAATTGCCAAATTTTTTAGACCACTAGTAAAGTGCACGTGCATCGCACGTGATGACGAATGTTTTTTGTCGATTAAATTTAGTAAAATAAATTAATTAATTTATTAAACATATCATTGCAGGAACGAAGTGAAATATAAAATAAATGAGCTTCTAATGCTTTTTTTTTACATAACATAATGATGTCCTAATATGAAAAGAATAAAATAACATATTACAACCCCAACAAAAATATAGTCCTAATGAAAAAAAAAAACACAAAATAACTAAATAAGGATCCAATGTACATTATAGATGCATTAGTTATTTTATTTAATTATGTTAGATGATTAAAAAGTGATTCCTTTCATTTTGGTTTTGACGTTTTCATAAGAAACATTCAAACTCGTTGGAGCTCAGTACATCAATAGTATTGCAAAATTATTCTTAATTCATTTGGCAAAACGTCTACTCTATTCAAACACTTATAAATATTTTGGTCAAACATATAGTGAAACTTAATGATTGTATTTTCTGTATAAGTTATTTCTACTAACAATTCATAAATATTGTTATAAAATAACCAACCGTATCATTAAATTGTTGATATTTTTGTTACCATTATATAAATTATTTTTGTCAACATTTTTTTTCAATGTTATTTATTTGGACGACAAACGAACTATATAATTTACGGTTTGCAAATTATTGACCATCTTCATTGTTGCAGTGATTTTAGCGTTGTTTATCATAATATATTTCACATCCGTTTAATTTGCGGTACTTATGTGACTAATAACTACTGTAATGTTTTTATTGTCCAATTTTTTTTTTATTTTTTTTTTGCATCATACATAATGCTTCGAATATTCAAGATAATGATTCTTTATTGGACAAAAAATAACAATGATAATAATAATAATAAACCAAAATAAACAAAACAAAGAGATAATATTAAGAAGCATGTCATTTCTTAAAATTTTTAAGAAGAGAAGAATTAAAATTCTATCATATTATCATACTCTTAGTCTCTCTGTGAACTTTATTATTACGAACTTATTATTAAAATTTACGTTATGTATCACAAAGTTTTATTTTTTGTAATTTAAAATTCTTGATAATATTTGACCATTATTTGTGAGAACTAATTTCTTACAGAGTTCATTAATTTAGACGCTAACAAAAAAAAATAGTAATTTTAAAAGTCTTTTGTTTGTAGATATTAGTATTCACATTTGTCTAAAAAAATTCAAACCTTTTCTGTTTCTATAAAATTACTATTGTTTTATTTGTTTATTATTCTATTCACAAAAAATATTTATTTGTTAAAAGTATTAGAGCACATTTTTATGCATTACGTCATTTTTTTGTACGTACTTTATATAATGACGTTGTAATCAAAATATCTTATATATTAGGATACAATTAATATAATCAAATATTGTAAATACTATATTATTTATAAATACTATATATATTATTTTATATAACCACATACTATTTTATATAAACTATTCTCTTCGGGTTGCTAACTCAAGGCTCTTATGATACCGAATGGGTGAACGATCCTTTTAGAAATTCGAAAGGTTCCTATCTTGAGTTCAGCTATTCGATCGAATGCCTCGGGTTCTCTAGGTTGGGGTAGAGTACTCGGCTTTTAAGTACGGCTAGAATTTTTTATACATTTGGATGAAGTGAGGAATTCGTCCATACCGTTGGTAAAGTTTGAAAGACCGCGACTGATCCTGAAAAGGAATAAAAGGAAAAAATAGCATGTCGTATCAATGGAGAGTTTTGAGGATATTTCATTCTTCTTGACTCGGTACAAAATCTTGTTCGAATTTTGGGGCTTTTTTAATTGAACTTCCATTGAAATTTTTATAATTCAAATGACAATTTTTCCAATGATTGAAACAGGATAAAAAAATCAATGAAAATTCATACAACAATAAAATTCAATGAAAATTCACACAACAATAAATAACGGTAATTGAAATCATTAAATCCACTAAATTTCAATGTAATTTAATGTGATATCTGATGGAATAACCAATGAAATTTTATAATGAAAGTTATACCAATGAAGTATCCATTGAAATTTTCAGTGGAATAACATATATATATATATATATATATATTATT